TAAGATTTTATTTATTTAATTTTAGAGGGAAGGGAGGGAGAAAGAAAGGGAGAGAAACGTCAATGTGTGGTTGCCTCTCATGCTCCCTCTATTGGGTACCTGGCCTGAAACCCAGGCATGTGCCCTGACTGGGAATCGAACTGATGACCCTTTGGTTCACAGGCCAGCACTCAGTCCGCTGAGTCACACCAGTCAAGGCTAAATTTTTTTTCTTAAAAATGAGTCAAATTATAAAATGGTTCCCTTTGGAAGATAAGGTTATTGGTGACTTTTCCCCCCTGCTTCTTTCCAAATATTCTACATTGAGTAGGTATTATCTGAATAATCAAAGGAAAAAGAAATTACAACACCCTCACCCAGGCAAAGGGCTTGTTGCCACAGCATTCACGAAGTAGGGACTGCCCCTCTTTTCCCCAAGGCTGCCTGCGTGGCTCGTTAGTAATCCTCACCCTAGCGCGTGTTTATTGACTTTCGAGAGAGAGGAAGTGGGAGAGAGAGAAACCTCGATGTGAGAGAAGCATCAATCGGTTGTCTCCCCTACACGCCCCGACCGGGGATTGAACCCACCACCGAGGTACATGCCCTGACCGGAACGGTCCCCGTACATTCTGATGCACAGGATGATGCCCCAACTAAGTGACCCACCAGGCCTGTGTGGCTCTTCCCCTTCTCTGCCCCTCCCCCTCCCCTTCCATCCTCATCGCCCTCTTTAGCTGTCCTTCCACTGCAAAGCCAGAATGTAAATGAACACACTTGGGAAACACAAGGAAGCGCTGTCCCGATCTCGGCCTCCTGCTGGGGTGAGCCTGGGCTTCTGCGGCTTAGACGCAGAGACGCAGAGGCGCACAGAGGAGGCAGGAGGGGAGAGCTCTGGGGGAGTTTTCCTGACTCTGCAGGGCAGGAACACAACATATGTCATTTCCAGGCCTGGATTATTCCATGCTTCTTACTGGTGGTGTTATTATTTCAAAATGTTCAGGCCCATAAGTTCCTGCCAACTCCTCTGATGAGGAAGCTCCTATCCCGTCCCCATGACAACCCCCGGCTCTCTCTGTGTCCCCCTCTTTCTGCTCACCCACATTCTCTCTACAGACCAGAGAAAGAGGGTAGATGTGAAGCTGACAGAAGGGGGACTGCGGCCTCCACAGATGCTGGCAGGAAAGGAGATTTCTGGGCTGTGCTAGAATATGGCAGAGATCCAGGACGGGGAGTGGTGGGGCTGCGGCTGATGGTTAAACCTCACTCTGCATGTGGGTGTAATCTCGACACCCAGGGATGTGAAAACTGGAGTCTCTACAGACCTACTCATCTTCTAATAAGAGGAGACTCTGCAGAAAGCGAGGGGAGGTGGAGGCTGGGAGTCCCCGTAGGAGGGAGGTGTGCGTGTTTCAGGGAATGAGATGGCATGGAAAGAGAGCATGGCTTGGGGGTGGGAGACCAGGGTTCAAATCTTAACTCTGCTCTCTCCTTGCTGGGCAACTTAGTTGAGTCGCTGCCCTCTCTGAGCCTCAGTTTCCTCTTCTATAACTCACAGAAATAGGTGAGGACCCCTGCCCTTTTCTTTCTTTCTTTTTTTTCTCCCTGCCTCTTTCTAGAGCCAAGTGACCAAGGATGTTTCCTGGCCTATAAAATCAGAATCCTGATATCTACACTTCATCAAATGAAAGATGAGTGCAACCTTCTAATCTCAACAGACAGGTGCCACCCACGTGGGTCCACACTCCTCTCCTGCTTCATCTCAGCACTCTCACCTCTCACTGATGCTCCCATCTACCCACCCCACCTCTATGCCTCTTCTCATTCCATTTCCTCTGCCTGGATTTCCCTTTCTTGTTGGGAGTAAGCTCATCTCCTCCAGGAAACTTTCTTTGATTTCCTACTGACTGGCTGAGTGAGGTGCCACTCCCACGGGCTTACGCCACTGTGGCCCTCAACAGCCAGAGATTACAGCTGGCTGAGGTTTACTGAGCATTTACTAAGTGCCTGACCCTCTACCACACCCTTTACCCAGCATTATCAAGTTGAATCCTAAACGGAGCCATGGGAGCAGGTGCTGTGTTTGCCCCCATTTTCCTGATCAGGAAACTGAGCCTGAGGGAGGTGAAGGTCAGGGTTGAGGGTGGAATGTGAACCCAGGGCAGTGTTATTCCAAAGCCCATTTGAAGCTTTTGCCACATACTCTGTCTGCTCACCTGAGCCCCTGAACACAGGCTTAGTTTTCCACTTAGAGGCCAGTTCTAGGCCTTCCTCTCACCTCACCCAGGAGCATGCGGGGCTCCACCCCTCTCTTCCCTCTCGTCCCAGGAAGGGCAAAATCCAATCTCACAGTTTCAGGTCCATGCAGTCGGAGCTTCCCTCTTGCCCCTCAGCCTTCCTCAACCCTCCCTCGAGAGTATAGGAGGAGCCAGGATGCCAGGGCCCCTCCATGGTCACGGCCTGGTGTCCCCTGCCACCCGAAACCACATCAATACCTGCCTGCCTCCGGTCATGTTTAATCCAAGCGAAAGGACCTCCACTTAGAGGTTACGGTCATGTGCACTAATGTGCCCAGCATGGACCAACCCTCCAGGACTTTAGCTCACGGAATTCCCACAGGACCCTATGAGGAAGATAGGGGTATAACTTTCGCTTTACAGATGGGGGAAACTGAGGCTCTGCTGACATCACAGAACAAGTGGGTGGACCCAGAAGTGATCTCAGGGTCGCCTGACCTCAGTAACCTCTGGTTTGCCTACCGCTTCCTTCCCGTTGCAGGCAGAGCCTTGCAGATCCCCAGAGAATGAGAGTCATGATTCATCTCCGCATCTGCAGTGGGTCAGTGCGATACCCACGGCACCATGAGAGGCCAGTTGTGGAAGTCTGGGCTCCCAGTAACCGTTTATGGGCAGAGGTCGGAAGGGCAGAGATTATCCCCACCTCGCAGATAAGGAAGTTGCAGAAAGTAGGAAAGTTGCCCAAGGTCACCCTTGAGTCAGAGGAAGGGGAGAGGCTTGAATGCAGGGTCTTGGGGAACCTGTGCTGAGCAAGACGAAGGAGGCCGCAGCAGGGCCGGGGCGGGGGGGAGGTGGGGCGCGAGGTGGGCAGGGCTGGGCTGGCAGCTGGATGAGCTCCGTCAGGGCCATCCTTGCTCTAATGAGGGCCTTGTCCTCTCCACTGGAGAGAAACAGGGACAGCTGAGCGGTGTATGGCAGTCCAGGATGGGGTCCGGGCTGAGAGATAAGGCTGGGGATATTCAGACCAGGAGTGGGGGCCTCCTGACCCTGGGTAACCTCGGAGTCCAAGATGGCAGATGGGGTGGGAACCACGCCCACCTCCGCGGCGTCTGTAATTCAGACGCATGGGGGGGGGGGGAAGCGCCCATCTTTAACCTCCTCCCCGGCCCCAAGCCTGAGAGGGACCCCTGCACTGGGGCCTGGGTCTCCTTCCCCATCTCGCTGGCCCCAAAACATACCAGGTGTGCAGCGACCTGAGCAGGATTACCTAGGAGGCAGCTCCCCACTCACCCTCCTCCCCCCCTGGTGCGGGGCCCAATGCAATGGACTTTGAAGTGGATCTCAAAGTCACTGATCAGTGGCCCCTCAGGGATGCAGACCCCTCTCCTGTCATAGTCCCAGGCTGATGGCTGAAGTCTGAAGCTGTGTGGACAATGGGGCCCTAAGCCCAAGGGCATTCCTGCCTTTGTAAGATCAAAGCTGCAGCTTGGGCTGTGTGATCCCGGGCCAGGAGGTGGGGGGTGGAGGGGAGTCAGCCAGGACTCTGATGAAGGAGGAAGCCCCTGTACCCAGGCGGTTCTTAGGGAGGCAACCCCTTGTCAGAGGTCCCTAGCCTAGGTTCAAAGGCTGGTGAGGGCTGAGAGGTTGGCAACGGATGGGGAAGCGTCTAGACCAGAACACTGGGGCTTCCTGTTGATGGAGAGGGCCCAGGACCACCGCCCGGTTCCCCATCCCTCTTCCTCACCCAAGTCTGAGCTTCCCAAAGCCCCACAGAAGCCCCCACCCCATGTGAGACACGTGGGACATAAGGTACCTAGAACCAAGAAGGGGTGGAGGCATTGAGGCAGGGGGGCCACAGCTCAGCACCCCTCCTGAGACAAGAGGCAGCTTCTTCTCTAAGGTCAGTCACCGCCCCCACCCCGGCCTCCACCAAGCCCCAGCACTGCCCCAAATGCTAAGACCCTCTCCAAGGGAACTTTTCCTCACTAAACTCGGCTGAAGATCCTGGCTCATGAAAAAACTAGCGGTCCATTCAGACACCATCTCTTTTCTTCCCATCTCTTCTTAGCGGTGGAGGGGCGCTCAACAGCACCCCACCCCTCCCCTCTGACCCCACAAGTTTCTCCCTCACTGGACCCCTTTGCAATTCGTTTCTCAGCTCTGGCCCTTCAACCCCCCCCCCCCGCTCTGGCTGCCACACAAACACTCACAATAATTTAGGGGCGTCTGCACTCTAAGTTGGAAGAAGGGTCTTTGGCCTGCTTCGAAATTAAGTTTGCAGCAGCCTGCGAGGAAACAGAAAAGAGAAATGAGACAGAGAATCTGCGGCCACCACCTGAATATGAGAAGCAAGCCCTCTTTCTGGGAAAACCGCATTCAGCACCGTTGCGGGTCCTTCCAGCCCTCCAAGGCTGTCTCCGCCGCCCACCCTCAACCCGAGGCCATCCCAAGGCCCGGCGGGCGGGCGCTCCCGAGGCCCGCGGGCCGCTCAGTGGTCTGCGCCAAAATGACCCAAAGTCAGGAATCCAGGCTCCCACCCTAGTGGTGTGACTCAAGTATCTTGCGCTGTCGCTACCCAGTTCCCACACCAAAGACCATGTGGAACGGGGCGGGGCGGGGGGAGAGGACGCGAGTCGGCGAGAGGGGCTCTGGCGTAGAGCGGGGAGGAGGGGGAAGCGGTGTATTTCTGGACGAGGGAAGGGGAGGCTCCGCCAGGGGGAGGAGCCGCTACCCGCGTCCCGCAGTCGAGGCTACCCGCCCCCCCAACCCCGTCGCGGCTCCGCTATAAAACCCTGGCCCGCAAGATCGCAGCACCCCCGGCAGCCTCCTTGGTTTGCGACCCCTGGCTTGGTCTTTGCTCCTGCGCAGGATGCGGCTGCTGATGGCGCTCGTGGCCCTCGTCGGGTACCGGTCCTTGGCCCGCGCAGGTGAACGCCTGGGCTTCGGCCCCCTGCCCCTCGGGTGGCCCGCTGTGCGCCTCCGGCCCCGCGCTCCGGACCCAGGATGCGCCCGCCCGGCACCAGTGCGCGCCTGCTGCGCGCCCGTCCTGGGTTGCGAGTGCGCCCGGGGCGCAGAGGCTGCGGGCGGACTGGGCTGGAGCGATCTCGTGGGCGCACACGAGCGGCCACGTGCGGTGCGGGGAAAGCGTGTGCACTCGTGTGCGCGGCGTCCCGGAGGAGACGAGCCTGCGGGTCCATGAGCCCTGCGGCTCTCATGAGCCTGCGGGGCTCATGAGAAGGATGCTTCTCTGACTCGCCCCGACGCACGCCTCCGTTTCTCGTCCTTTCTGGCGACTCACACGGCTCTGGTCCTACCCATTTGTCCGCCCGGCCGGGGCTGGGTGCAGGGTGGTTGCTCTCCTCCGCCCAGAGCAAGGGCACCACGTTGAGTGCGGTAGACCCCTGGCATCCCCGCTTCCCACCCTGGGTTCCTTATCACTGGGGGCCGCCACCTCCCTTCACCTTCCCGCCAAACCCCCAGCGCTGTGTTGGGAGCCTGGCTGGGGGCTTCTGGAGACCCGAGGTCCCGGGTTGAGCCAGTCTTTCCGGCCACGGTGATTTTCCTTTAAAGATTAGTGGTGAGGCCAAGCTCTTAATTATTCTCCTAGATGGGAGGTAGCAGGAGAGACGGGTTAATGTTTGATAAGGAACTGAAGGTGCTTCCAGAGGCCGGGCACAGGGATCCGGGGAGCACCTTTCCCGCGACCTCACCGGGGCTCATCTCCGTCGCAGGAAACTCTCATCTGCCGTCTATCAGCTGGGGTTCAGCGACCCCTCCCACGGTCCTTCGGGTCTGTCTGACCCAACCTGTCTCCAAAACTAGAGGCTCTCCGACTGGAGTCATGGCGTGCGTGGTGAGGGGAACCTCAGCCCCAGAGGAGAGAGCCGGTGGCGCCTGCAGCACAGACTGAGCTGGCCGGCGGGCTGGGGGGAGGGCTGGGGGAGGGGCGCCTGGCAGCAACTCGCGGGAGAGGAGGAGAGAGAAAAGGCAGTGAAGGGGTTCAGAGCGGGTCTCCCCAAAGTGTGCCACGTTGGCTTGTGAATTATTCTGAGCTGAAGGCAATCAAAACTTTCACCTCTCCCTTAAAGAATTTAAATTGGGGATCTTGCCAATAATAGGAGTTATCACCATGATTAACTTTTTAGGACCTGTCTCCTCTCCGAAGCCCTAAGGCGCCTTACCTCACCCTTAGCTCAGAATGCCACACACGCGTCCTTTTTCCTTTCTGTCTCCGACCTCTCCTGCTTGCGGTGTTCCTCCCCACACTTCTTAAATGTGGTCATCTTCTCTTGTTACTCTGTCTCATGTCCATTTGATTCTTAGACAGTCAAACGATCTTAGAAGGGTACAGGGATGTTTCTCCCCGCCCCCCACAGTAGGATGTCAAAATTTGTATTTTTAGAGTTGGATGTGTGAAACCTACTCCAGCAGCTGGGCTGAGTAGAAAGAGAAGAGCCTTGCAATTCATCCCGCTGGTTTGTTGCTGCGTGGCCTTGGGCAGGTCACTCTCAGTGTTCTCACTGACAAAACAGGGAGAGTAGTGAGTTTTAGGTGTTGGTTTTAAGGACTCAAGTCAGATAGTGATGTAAGCGCTTCAGGGCGATATCTCTGTGACACGCAGTAGGCATTTCATGCGTGATGGCCGTGATGGCTCTACCGCTGGCCTGGGGCCAGCCAACCAGGGAAACTGAGGCTGGAGAATGACCAGGCTGCCTGCTGAGGTCCCTGGAGCATCTGATGCCGGGGAGCAAAGAGGGGAGAGGATACAGGGCTCCTTCTGGCCAGGACTTCCCAAGACTTTGCCTAGGACATACTTGGCTTTTGCTGAGCTGGTTTTCAGGACTTTTTCCTGCCCCCAGAGTCAGAGGGTGGAGTGAGCAAGGTCCATCAGAAAGAAATTTTTCAGTCATCTCTAAAGAACAGGGGAGGAGAGAAAGCCAGGGTGGGGAACAGTGGCTGGGGGGTTGGCACTGAGTTTCTGGCCTGGGCAGGTGGACCTGCTGGAACCTGGAGCCCGGGGCCTGGGGCTGTTCTCCTTTCTAGGCCCTCATGGGGGGTGGGGGGGTCGGTGAGACAGAGGGCTGGTAATCACCTGCAAAGGCAGCTCTCTCACGAACAATTACAGGAACCTGAGCTGGTGTGTGACCTGCCACCTCTTGCCTGAGAGCCGGCCCTCTATCCTCAGCCCACAGACAGACCTGACCCCTGGCCTTGGCCTTTTCAACATTGTGTTTTCCTGCCTCCTGCCTCCTGAAGAGGGTAGTTACAAGAGCATTTGCCCAAGCAGGTCAAAAGTCTCTATGATTATGGCAGTGGATCAGAGGTTACCATTACAAACGCAGGAGCCCTAGCTGGCAGGAAAGATTAAATTCCTGAGAAAAGCTCAGCCTGAACTAAATAGTCCCTGGAGGGGTGGGGGGAGGCCCAGAGGGTTCCGCCCATCACAGCTGGCTCCCTCAGACTCTGGTTTAAGTAAGGTTTCCCCTGGAGTGGCCGCCCCTTGGGTCTCCAATCCAGGCTGACCTTGGGAGCCCCTTCTTCCTTCCAGACCTCTGAGAGGAGGGCTATAACAGGCAGGCATTCCCGGGAGCAGGGGGCCTCTCGCCCACTGTCTCCTCGGACTCCACCAGCTTCTTCTGCCTGAGGGAGAAGGTGGAGGGAGCTCGGAAAAGGCAGCAACTGAGCAAGGGGAGAGCTAGGGTGGGGAGCTCCTGCCGCTGCGGAGGAAGCGGCCCCTCTCCCATGCAGAGCTGACCGACCCGTAGGGTGGGTCCCAGATGCAGAGCCCTAGGGCAGCAGAGCCCTGTCCAGGGCGAGAACCATCACAGGGAGAACACTCAGGACTGTCCATCTCTGAAAGAAGCGGTGCCAGGGGGGTGGGTGAAGCATTTGATCCGGAGCTGGGCTCTGAGGGTGCCCAGCCTCCCGTGGGTGCTCGCTCCTGCCCTCCAACCCTCCCACCCCCTACGGAGGTCCTGGCCTTCTCATGGCTCCCTCCCCACCCTGTCCCCATTCCAGGAACCCCAGTGGAGGCGGTGTTGGATGCAGGCAGCCCAGACGCAAAGGTGGAGGGAAGGCGTGTGTGCTCAGAGGTCTGAGCTCAGGCTGAGGGGGAAGCTGTGCTTTTCTTAGGAATTTCCTCATCCCTGAATTCTTTCCAATGTGGCTTTGGCCATCTGTGCACTGACAGGAGAGCGGAGGGAGCAAGGCAACAGGAAGGAAGGGCTTATCAGGGACTCGAAGTTCCAGGCTGCCATTTCATTTAACGCCCCCCCCCCCCGGCACAGCCCTCAAATGAGGTGGGCGGTGTTAGTACCATTTTACAGATGGTAAAACCGAGGCTTAGATAGACGAAGTGACTTGGCCAGAATTCCAGCTCTGGATCAAATGCATTGTCCAGCCTGCTTCTCCGGCCTTTAACAAAGAAAATCAATAGACTTTGATTAGGGCAGGTTTAGGTTTGCAGAAAAGCAGCTGCTCCCACGCCCCTCTCTGCCCTGCCCTGTCTCCCCCATTGTTACAGGCTTGCATCAGTGTGGTAGGTTCGGGCTGTGGCCTTTACTTCAGAGATGCTGGTTCTACCCTGAGGCAGAGCCAGGATTAGAAGCTGAGTCTGTCTGGTCTCAAACACCAGGACTGTGGGGTGGTGGGACCAGGAAGAGGGCTTGGCTGTCTTCCTTGCTGTGAGGCTGGGAACATTTAGCCAAAAACAGGTCTTAATAACGTGAAAAGGAGGGGCCAACGCACTCTCCATCACCCCCTCCCCCCACCCCCCATCAGCTCTGGGAAGGCAGCCAGGCTGAACCTGGCTCTGTGGTCCCCAGAGGAGAGGCCAGGCCCGAACCCTCCTCCATCCCTCTCACCACTGCCTCCCTTCCAGGTGTGGGTTAGAGGAGGGGAGTGGGTTAGAGGAGGGGGTGGGAGGATGATGAGCAACAAATGGGGAGCATGGAGGCCAGAGCCTGGGGTGGTCTCAGAGGAGCCCCCTCAAGGGCTGGCGGCTGCTTTGCCCTGTGTGAAGATTCGTGCGCTGGCCAGGATGACCACGGGATGAGTCGCAGGCCAGGGACCCCTAGCCCACCTGCTCACGTGGCCTCCGTCCCCACCCCTACATGTTCTCCTTAAGCGTCCTCTCCCAGACCCCAGGAACACCCCCACCCCAACCCCAGGGGGCCTCTGACTGTAGGGAGATTCGCAGCCTCTGACCTACTGTGTGCACACACCCATCCAGTATATGTGTGAGCTCAGAGGCCGGAGCTCAGGCTGAGTGCACGCTTCTCGTGAGCTGGGGGAGGCATCCGTGGGCACAGATGCACTGACACACGTCCGCACAAGCCTCACATCCTTCCTCTCTCTGCAGCAGAGCCACACTGGTGCTACAAGACTCAAGCCAAGGTCTCCGAACACTGCCCGGGTGAGTACAGCATCTGGGGACAGGCTGTCAGTGTGGGGCACAAGGAGGGTCGGGAGGAGGAGGGGTGAGGGTGTCCCCCATCACATCAGCTCTTCACACACACACACGCCCACACACACACACACACACACACACACACACACATTCCTGGTGCACAGGGGACAGAGAATGTGGAGTGACCCGAGCCTTCCCTGGCACCACCATCACTGTCACCAAGAGGGCGAGTCCCCTATGAAATGTCATCAGCAGCATCAAATGGAGAGATACATTTTGCTCTTTCTCATTACAAAATGGAGACTTGGACCCTGGCTGGGGTGGCTCAGTTTGTTGGAGCGTCGTCCCGTGGACAGAAAGGTCATGGGTTCTATTTTTGGTGGGGACGCATGCCTAGTTTGTGGGCTCAATTCCTGGCTGGGGCACGAATAAGAAGAGAACCAACTGATGTCCCTCTCTCTCTGTTCTTCCCCTCTCTCGTTTCTCTTTTCCTCCCTTCTTCTCTCTCTAAAGTCAGTGGAAAAAACGTACTTGGGTGAGGACTTTTTTTAAAAAAGGAGACTTGGTCCTGTTTACAAGGGAACCAGGGAGGGATCCTTGTCATTTCTCTTTAAAACTGACGAATTTCTCAATTTCCCCGAAGTCTGCTCTCTTCCTGCCTCTGCCGTGCGGTGACGGGACAGCGCTGCCCGCTCCCAAGCCCCACCCGGTAGTTCGGGGAACCAGGCTCCCCCAGGGGTCACTCCCCCGCTGCAGCCTCACGATGTTCAGTCAGTGTGCCTTTCCTAAGCAGCCCTTCCAGGGAACTCCACTCCATTCCAGGTCTTCAACTCACTTTCTTTGAACTTCATTACACAGGTTACAAAGCAAATTGTCACCGCATTTCTCCCCTGGCAGCCCGGCATCCTGGTGTTGTCCCCTCTCTCAGAGCTCAGAGCCAGCAACCTGCCACCCTGCTCCCACCCTGCCATTACTGCCAGACCTGCTGTTTTTGCTTGCACACGTGTGTGTGTGTGCGCTCGTGTGTCTGAGCAGGAAGACTCCTGCAACACGGCCTGCCAGCCATCCCACGACCTTGCCTCCTGTGAGCGGGGCGCAGGTCTGACCTCCGTGGAGCAGAGGAGGCTGCACCCCAGCACCACACCCCCTGACTGGGCCCACCCCTCTCCCCACTCAGGGCCAGACCAGTGGGGTGGAGACTGCCAGAGGACCCGCCAGTCCCCCATCAACATCGTCACCACCAAGGCACAGGTGAACAAAGCCCTGGGACCCTTCTCCTTCTCCGGCTATGACAAGAAGCAAAAGTGGACCGTCCAAAACAGTGGGCACTCAGGTGGGTACCAGGTGGGTGGGATGGAGGACCCGGGCAGGCACGGGGCCCCAGTTCGGGGCAGGGGCCCAGCATCCCCTGAGCATTGGAAAGGCACACAGGCCCAGGTACACCTTTGCTGAGGGGAAGCTGGAAAGCCCAGTGCGGGGAGGGCAGGGGAAGAGGAAGGACTCAGAAAGCAGAGAACACGCCAGCGGGATTGTCAGAACTTTCATCAGATCAGTCCGGATGTCCTAGAATGGAGGAGCAACAGTGTGCAAAGGCGTGGGGCATGAAACCGGTTGGGCTGTCCAGGGAGCTGCACACAGCTCTGTGTGGGTGAAGGACAGAGAGGGAAGCTGGGAGGGGCCACGCCAGCCCAGGGGCAGATCACTGAGGGCTGAGGGGTTGGACATTCCCCTGAGGACACCAGGGCACCACGGAGAGGGGTTGGAGCAAGGGAGTGGCCTACCAAGTTTCATGTTTGGGGCAGTGGGGGGTGTTCACAGGGAGGCAGGCAGGGAGGCCAGTAAGGGGCCAGGGCAAAGTCTGGGGTGGTACCACCCACCCGGTGCCCTCCCTCCAGGTCCAGGCCCACAGCCCATGAAGGGTGGGAGGTAGGAGAGGTCTTGCCTGGGTGGACCTGGGAAGAGTGGCTGGAAGAGGCTAGAGGAGGTGGGTCCGAGGACTCTGCCCCCTCCTGTGCCCTTCAGTGATGGTGTTGCTGGGGAACGAGGCCACAATCACTGGAGGAGGCCTGCCCACCCGGTACCGGGCCAAGCAGCTGCACCTGCACTGGTCCAGGGCGCTGAATGCGGGCTCGGAGCACAGCCTGGACGGGGAGCGCTTTGCCATGGAGGTGAGTGGTGGTCTCTCCTGGGCTAGTGCCTTGGCTGGGCCCTGAATGTACCTGCCTTAGGCAAGAAGGGCGGTCCAGCTGGTCTCCCAGTTCTCTCTTCATCTCTCTCATCTCTTACCAGATGCACATAGTACACGAGAAAGAGAACCCGAAAGAGGCCCAGGACCCCGAAGACCAGATTGCAGTGCTGGCCTTCCTGGTGGAGGTAGGACCCCCGTCCCCAGGGGCCTGGGGGGGCCCTGCCTTCTGTTTCTCAGTGGCGTATGTATCCCCAGGTCGGGGGCTCAGAGTCTCTCGGGGTCTCAGTCACAGCAGCTGCCTGCCCTCCCCACCCCAGACCAGGGGAACGAACGGGTGGGTGGTCACCACCAGCTCCCCACAAGCCCCTCTCAAGCCCCCTTCCCTCCTGTTCCAGGCTGGATCCAAGAACGAGGGCTTCCAGCCCCTGGTGGAGGTGCTGTCTGCTATTCCCAAGCCCAGTGAGTCAGGATGACCAGGATGGGGGTTGGGAGGGGACGGAGGGGTGGAGACTCCTTCCTGCAAAGGCGGCTGGGCTCTCGGAGTGAGGCGTGTGAGGGATCAGTGTCTCAGAGACCAGCCCACTGACAGTATTCTTGATCGCCCACTACCAGTGATGAACACCACAATGAAAAAGGGCATCAGCCTGTTAGACCTGCTCCCTGAGGAGGAGAAACGGACCCGCTACTTCCGCTACCTGGGCTCGCTCACCACGCCAAACTGTGACGAGAAGGTCGTCTGGACCGTGTTTGAAGACCCCATTCAGCTCCACGAGGACCAGGTACACAGGGCCTCCCACCGCTCAGCTCCCCAGAAAACATCCCTGTGGACCCCCAGAGACCCCTGGGTTGGGGGCACTCCAGGGACCTGAGGGTCTATTGGTTAAATCCACAGACACTCCCTGCAGGAGACAGACAGGAAGGGTCCCAGCTGCCCCATCTCCGGGGTAAGGGTTATAGGGGAGGCCGTGACAGGGGTGTCGGGAAAGGGCTTCCAGGCTGCACCCTGAAAAGTAGGTGGGAGTCGGCTAGCGGAGGGCAGGGGACCCGTGTCCTGAGGAGAGGTACCTGTGTAGAGGGCCTGGGCTGGCCAGGGGCAGCCGAGAGAGGGTCAGTGCAGCCACCGTAGGGGAACAGGTCATTCGGTCCTCTCGTGGTCCCAGATTCCCTATAACACACGAGACTCGAGATACAACAGTGAGCCAAAAGGGCCTCCATCCTGGCCCTCGTGGTATTTTGTTCTAGGACAGTTGTCCTCAGAGAGCCATTCCCTGGACCAGTGGCATTGAGTCATCTGGGAATTTGCTGGACAAATTTTGGGGCCTCACCCTGGACCTACTGAATCAGAGACTCTGGGGGTGGGGGCTAGCAGGCTGGGGCCCAACAAGCCCCCCGGGCAGCACGAATGCACACTCAAGTCTGAGGTCCGCTGCTCTTTAGTGACAGTGACAATGGTAGCTGTGATCACAGGCCTCCCAAGCCGTCCACTTGGCTAAGGGAAGCTAATGGGCATTGAGCGCCCACCAATGCCCAGCACTTTACATCTTTCATTTTATCTGTACCGACACCTGAGAGGCAGGGATTCTGAGCCCCCACACTAATGAGGACTTGGAGAACCTATGTGACCGGCCTCTGGGGTGACACGGCAGGGGGTCCAGCTGCGCAGGTCCCCAACCTGGCCGGCCCTGTCCCTCTGCAGATCTTCGAGTTCTCCGACAGGCTGTACTACGACAGTGAGCAGAAGCTGAGCATGACAGACAACGTCAGGCCCCTACAGCACCGGGGCCAGCGCCTGGTGTTCAAGTCCCAGGCCCCGGGCCGGCTGCTGCCTTTGCCACTGCTCGCTCTGTTGGCGCCCACGCTCAGCTGCCTGGTGGCTGGCTTCCTCCGCTGATGGCTCACGGCTGGACACTTGACCTCTGACCTCAGCCCCGAGACAGTCGGGCCTCCCTTCCTCAGGAGTCCCCGGTTGGACTTTGATGATGAGGAAAAGATGGATATATTTTTGGAGAGACCTTTCTCGCATCTGTTTTTAGTCCCCACGACTACCCCTGCCTCTTTCCCCCAACTTATCCCAGTTCAGGGTAGGGGCTTTGGGGCTGGAGGTTCTTTGGAACAGGGACTGCAAGTTGCCCGCCCCCACCTTGGTGAGCTCCCTGTCCACACCCCACTGGGAGAGCCGCAGAAGGCACCTTGGAGCTCCGGCGCAGCGACAGGAGAGGCCGGGCGGAGGCCAACAGACCGGCTGCGGCGAGTGGACTGAGACACCGGCCGGCGCTTCCTCCTCTGTGCTGGGGCTGGAGAGTGTGGGTGGGTGTGGGTACAGCCTAGCAAGGTGGTGACAAGTTCATTTATTTGCTGAAATATATTTTGAGTGTCTATGTTCTAGACACGGGCTGTGACAAAAATGCCTGCCCTCCTGAATTCACAGTCTAGTAGGGAGACATTATAAATAAAATAGACACATTGTACGATGTTTCGGGCCTCAGTGGGTGCTCCGGAGAGAGTTCAGTCAGAAAGGGAAGGTGGGCAGGGAAGGCCTCCATGGGAACGTGTCATCGGGGAGACTTGAAGGAGCCCCAGGGAGGAGGCCGTCTGGAGCCAGCCAGTGCTCAGGCTGCAGCAGCGGCAGGAGGAGGAGGAGGAGAAAAGTTGGGGGGAGGAGGGAGCGGGGAGGAAGAGGCAGTGGGTGGGGGTGAGGGGGGCCCTCAAAATAGGATCTTGTGAGGATGCTGGTCTTGAGCATGAGAGACCGGGAGCCCCTCCGAAGGGCCTTTGCTTTGTGGAGCAGCGGCTGCTGACAGGAGGAAGAGGTGAATGCGAGGCTCTCTGGACCTTGCACTTGGGAGCTGTCAGTACTGCCCCCTGCCCCTGGACTGCGTCTCTGATGGCTTTTGCCTCTGTGACCCAAGAGGGAGAGAGATGAGGAGGGGCTGCGTGGAGAGTTGAGGGTTGGGAACCAAGGGAGTAGAAAACAGGGGCTCCAGGGGTGGGCTCCAAGCCAGGCCAGGTCCCTGGTGCCAGGGACTGAGGGGCCCAGGTTCTGAGGCCTCCTCATTCGGAGCAGGACTGTATTTTGGAGGAGTATGAGCCTTGAGACTCAAGGGAAGGGGACAAGAGTGGGCCTTGCTGGGAGAAGAGGTGCCTCCCCACCCCCACCGAGGCCCAGGGCCAGGGTGCTGTGGGGACACCCTCTCTAACAGGCTCCAGGGTCTGGAGAGGGCAGCACACTGGGACTCCATTACCCAGGGTGAGAAGCCCTGGCTTGCTGTTGTCTTGCAAGGCAGCTGGTTGGATAGAGGAGGTGACCCCTAAGTCCCTGACCACCCCCAGCTAAGCCTGGGAAGAGGGAGAAAGGACTGCTCCCCCTCCATATGAGCTTCCCCCTCCCTTTTCCCCTTCGTGATCAAGAATAAGCACCCCCTCCTTTCACTGGTGACCACACAGCAGTGGGTGGCCTGCGAGGGAGATTGGTATTGCCGTCACCATGGCGACAGCAGGCAGCCTGTGTCAGCAGGGGGTATGTGGACACTGAACCTGTTCTCTTTGGTTCCCACAAGAGATCTAAGATCTAAGTGCCCCGCCACCACCTCAAGGCTCTCAGAAGTCCCACCAACCCCTCTCCTCCACTACTCCCCCTCCTCCCATCCAGGGCCTGCCCTCAGTAGAAGCAGGAAGTCCCAGCTCTTTGCAGGAGTCTAGGGGAGCCTTGGCCTCTCCGACCCCAGGCAGAAGGCACACTGCCCTTCTCCACCCCTAACCCCACAATGACAATAATGAACCTGGCTGGTGGGGGCCCAGAATGGGCACAGCTTGTCCAGGGCCCAGGGCCCAGGGCTCCTCCCAGCATTCCACTGGGTTGGGTGGCAGCCTTCCTATGCTGGGGCAGGTGCCGTCAGCACGCCACTCAAAGCAAGGTCATTCCTGGTCAGTCACCTCAGGGGTGTGCAGCCAACCCCCCTGGAACTGGCCCCTGCACCGGCTGAGGTTATTGGATAATCCCTCTCACTATGCATGTTCTTGAGAGCCTCCCCTTCCCAGTAAATTCACTCCCTCCGTGGGGCTCCACCACCCCCCACAGCCCACCTCTGGCTCCGGACTCAGCTCTCTGAGGTGGTAGTGGGCTACCAGTGCACCCCTTATTCAGAAAGAGGGCCCACCCACCCACAGTCACTTCTCTGCCCCTCCTTGGCTCCCGTGGCCAGCGTTCTCCTTTGGCAGTTATCCGAGGGCCAAGGTGGGGTCTGCAACGCCCTGTCCCACCCTGTCTCCACTGGCTGCTCTGTGTCCCCTCTGGGCCGTCTCTCTGGCCCCCTGTTTAGATTTGGCATCTGGGTAGGAACCGGGGCCTAAAAATACTCCCCGCGTGTTTAGATGATTCTTGGAAAATAAACTTCCCCATCTTGGCTCTTGGTTTGCACACTTGCTGGCCCTGCTTCCTGTGGCCCTGATCTGATCATGGGGTGGGGGAGGAGGGGGATACAGGGAGGGTATGAGGGTGCGGAGGGGCCCAGGGTCATGGGTGGCGGTGGTGGCGTGTACACGCACACACACACACACGCACCTGTAAAAGTGGCCGTGTCACAGAACTGCAGGGGGCGCCTGTGCTGAGACTACCTGTGACTGGCACCCTTGCGTAGCATGACCTGAGGCTCTGTGCTTTATATGTAGGGGATGGGTGGGCAGAGGCAGGGAAGCAGGTGGCCTTGTATCTGGCTGGGCCTAGCTGTCCCCAACTCTGGCTTGTGACCCAGGGAGGAAGTCCAGGCCTATCTCCACGGGTGGGGCGCTGCTCCCGCACCTTGCATTGCACACTTCTGGCTGGCCCTGTTTGTTTATCTGAGACGGCACAAAGGCATTATCTCCTCTAGAGACCAAGGACTTGTCCCGGGGCCCAGGCGCCCGCCCAGGGAGGGGCTTCCTTTGCAGGAGAGCTACAGGACAGAGAAGTTATAAGCCAGTTCCTTCCTCAGAGCCCTAGCCCCAGCTGAGACTGGACACGTAGGAGAAGGCTCTTCATATTCCAAGTGTTGGCTACTGAAAGTTCTGGGAGGACAGGAAGAGGGACAGGGGACAGGGAAGGAAGCTGTGTACATTTTGGAACAAGATTTAGTCTTTTAACAAACACTATTATTTCCTCTGTGTCAAGGACTGAGGATGCAGGGGGGAAAAAACCCCAAACCCAATCTCCAAGACTCCTGACCAAACGGCAGACACAGGGCACCGGCATCGGGCCCACAAAATACATGCTGTCAGAGAGGCACAGACACACACGAGCATGGGCCAGGGCCATGCCGGTCTGGCTCTGAGTGCTCTTCCACTGCTGACTAGCCAGTGAGGCGCCTTCGGTACCGTAAGCCTTCACCCGAGCCTCAGTTTCCTCATCTGCGAAGTGGGGGTGATGGCAGCAGCTACCTCATAGAATTGCTACAAAGGTGAAACGAGATGCCTGGCCAAGGGCGTGTCTTCAATAATTTGTAGTTACCATTGTGATTCTTTTTATTAGAGAGAGCACGGAAGGATGGGTAGGACCCACAGACGGGAGAAACTGGCCTCTCCCAGGGATGGCAGAGAACAGTGGGTGGGGGCTGGCCAGTCACCTCTGGGGTCAGTAGCGGGTGTGGGGTGGGTGGCAGCCTTCCTGTGCTGAGAAGAAACTGTAAGACCCGGGGCTGCCCTCTCCTCCCAGACCCTTCCCCTCGGCACTCCATTTTCCAAGCACAGAACAGTCCTCCTAGCCTGACCTTCACCCGAAGTTGCCCAAGGTCACCCAGCGCAGCAGGGCGGGTGGGGCTGGGGGGTGGGACAGGCTGAGGCCTGGATACCCTCTGGCTCTCACATGCCTGTCCTGCTGGGGCTGTTTCAGCTGGGGACCAGTTTCCCTTTTCGCTTTTTTCCTCCGGTCCGTCCCCTTCCCAAGCAGCTGCAGGATTCCCAGTGCGCCCCCGCGGCGTCCCTCCCTCTGTCCCTGGCTGCCTGTGAGCAGGCTTGTCCTGTCTGGATTTGCTTCGGTCTTCCCCCGCCCGGCACGCACGTGGTCTGCACCCACCTGGGGTTACCAGGTCAATGCGAATTTCAGACCAACAACACTGTTTTTAGTGTTAAGGATACCCCCCCAAGCTGCATGGTGCGTACTTACACTAAATCATTATTTGTTGTTTATCTGAAATGGGAATTTCACTGGGTGTCCTGTATTTGTATTTACTGGGTCTGGTGACCCTCCCCCTATCCCAACCACCTCAGGGGAAGAGACCAAGAGAAAAGCAGGGACAAAAGACAGGCCAAGACTGCCACCATTACCTCCTCCTTGCAGCTATCTCCCTCTCCCTCCAGCTGGCCACACCTTCCAGGATTGAGAGTGAACTGGGGTTTCTCTCCCTGGACGGGTGACTTTGTGGGGAGGGCAGCTGGAGCAGGCCCTCTGCTTGTGGGTCTCCTCCTCTTTTCCAGTGTCTTGGGAGAGGCCGTTGCCAAGGAAATCTCTTATTCCTGTTCCTGGGGTCTCTGAGACCCCGGGCCTCATTGAGCAGGTGGTGCAGGGCTCCTTTCCTGCAGCCTGGCTCCTGTCCACCATCCCAGCCCCCTCTCACAGAAGCGAACCTTCCGATGGCACCTAGCTGCTGCCGCAGGTGGAGTGAGAAGGCTCCTGAATGCCAGGGTTTTATTTCTAGACGGAGGAGAGGCTGGCTAGGCCCAGGACCGCCTCAGGGAGTAGGGCAGGAAGAGCGGGCCCAAACGCCAGCAGGCAGCTGGGTCCTCTCTGTCCAGTTCCTTGAACGAGGTAATTTCCCGGATCTGTTTCACTACCCTTGGTCCTCATGATTTGCATATGAGTTGTTATGCCACACCCTCTATAAGGTACTTTACACCCATTATTCCACGTACTCTGACAGCAAGCTTGAGAACATAAGGTCCCAGTGGAACAGCCCCTTCAGGACAGCTGGGGTTGTCGTGATTTGGTTACTGCTAATGGTGGACACTGCGATGCAAAGGCTTGTCCTAGCTGTCCCTGTGTCAGCAGTTGGCCTCTCCCGGGAGAGGATGCCTCTTCACTCAAGGTCACATTCCTTTTTGCAGAGCCCCAGCCAGTGACTGATCCATGCGGGATGCCAAAGGGCCTTTCCAGCTTCAGCGCCCTCTCTGTGGGGCCAGTCCAGGCCATACATGACTGTCCCACTGCTCCCCTGCTCAGGCCTGCTTCCCCTCTCGCAGCTGTCACCCCCGCGGGCATTCCCTAACACACAGCCTGCACGCTAAACTCCCTAAACTCCGTCAGCTTCCTGGGGAAGCCAACTGCAGTGAGGCACCTCGGCACCCAGAAGCAGAGAGCACATAGTAGGCTCTCCATCAATTCTGGGTTGGGAGCACCCTGGGGAAGGCATAGCTAGTCCTGGCTCTATACAAATAACAGTATAATGTTTACTCAGGTAAGAACTATTTGACACACTTCCTATCTTAATCTTCAGAATAC